TATTTGATCCTTGGATCTGGTCTACTCTTCTTCACTTCTGCTTTACATTCTGTGCATAGCTGCATCAAGGTTTAATGCTCCTTCATGCTGGCATTGGTTTAAACCAAGGAACTTAAGGGATCCTGTAGCTTCTGCCATATTAGTTACTCCCTCATCCATTAGGAATGGAGCTTCACTTTAGCTTGGCAAACACAAGGTAAAAGAAAGGCAAGGAGTATTTGCAACTTAGACCTTGCACCGTAGTCATGAACGGAGCATATAATACATTTTGACACAATTCTTTCCACCAAATATTTTTCTTTTTATTAGAATTATTTCCATACCTTGAGTTTAGAAGATTTGAATATGGCTGTCTAGGACAGGACATTTTGGAAGACATTCATTCATAGGGTTGCTATATGCTGGAGACAACTTGATGGCACATAACAACAATGGGGAGAAGTTACAAGAACAGTTCCACACAATCAACCATTCAACTAGCTAACACAGATTCTTTTAGCCGGTGAAGGACAGAGGTGTGTACTGGTCCAACACAATATTTTGGCTTTGCTCCTTTGTACATGTATGAACTAAGGTGCCCAACTCAAATTCTGAAAAGGTAGCAAAATATTAATTGATTTTTGGGGGTTTCATATTGTATTTTTACAATACCATATGCCATGGAAAGGGTGATATATTAGAGGCATTTTCTGCCACAGGAACCAAGATAACTTGACTGGGTACAGGTACTATGAACCTTGACTTGCCAGGAAATAGGAGCAGGCAGGGGTACCATGTACTGTTCTGCCAAAGGCAGCAAAGTATTTTGCCAGTCCTGAGGTCCCGAGCTTTAATCTCTACACAGCATAGCTAGCTGGGGCATGCTGTGAATTATGTACATTTTTCTGTCTAAACCTGCATAGGGTTGCATCTTTAATTGTTGAAGTATTTTCCAAATCATTCTTAGGTATCAAGAAAAGCCAATCAAACTTCTGCTAGCACAGCTTTTCCCAATCTGGAGCCATCCAGACGTTCTGTACTACACCTCCCAAGATTCTTGATCATTGCCCTTAATGGCTGAGCCTAATGCAGTTTAAACGTCTGGCTGCATTAGTAACTCAGTCAGATTTGGAGAACAAACGTATGTCATATGGTTTTAAATTTTGACTAGATAAACAAAAGATTATTTGAGCAATAATTCAGCCTGCATTACCAAACTGTAAATAACTCTCAAAAGAATAGGGCATTGTGAGCCTGGTTGTGTTGTTATAGAAGAGAAGAGGGGGAAAACAACTCTCTGGGTCATTTGTATATCCTGATAGTGATAGGAGATTATAAGTGTACCAGCTTCTGTTATAAAGATACCCAGCATTACTATGAACACAACTGAAGAAGTATCATCCTTGAAGAGATTTAAAAGGGACTGGGAAACAATGAACCACCAATGGCAAAACTAATCAACAACAAACCTAAAGGTAAGGTTAGGTTGATCCTTATCTACTCTGGAATACAAAAGGGCTTGTAGATGGCTGGGATATAAGAAGAAGGCTCTTTTGTGATCTCTAAGCTAACATGTGGTTTTACCCTAAGTCCATAGGAAATGATGGGTCATAGATCAATAGATTACACAGTATGCGGAGGTATATATCTACTTGCATCACTATCATTATTTCACCATTTTAACTAACTACTATCCTTATAGGTTTTGTTGAAAATGTTTATAGGCTACAGCATCATTGTCCATACAGTTTAGCAAAAAAAATATTCTCCTTAATTGCTGGTTTTATAATAATTACTAGGATATATCTCTGGGATCATGTAAAACCTTTTGGAAACTAAAGCAGGAGGTCAGGTTTTATAAGATAAGGTTCAAAATAAACACTTTGTTCAGCTTAGAACAGAATGTAGAAGGTGCTGCCTGTTGCACTCTACAAGGTGTTCTTTTGTGCATTTTTATGTCTGCTTTAAAAATAAAATGAATCTATTTATAGTACACAACTCTAAATGTTTTAAAATGAGAAAGAAAAAAGGATACTGTAGTGAGTAGTGTCAGTCCTGGAAAGATCTAGCATTCTCATGCCAGCCAAGCTGCTTTTAAGCTTTCTTTATCACCTGCCATTCACTAAGTGGTCACTCAGGGCCCACCTCAGCCATGGGGCCCTGGACTTCAACCCCAAGGTCTAGCCATAGATGCACCATTGCTTCTAACTCACTGACTGTGACCATCAACCTAGTGTGGTCTCCACTTGATTGTCACAGTTGATAGGCGGCAACTTTGTGTTGTCTGACTTTCTAGGGAAAAGTTCCAATAATAGTCCCACTTTCACACTATTCAGTAGGCAGGTTGCACAGAATCAGTCAAGTGTGTGAAGGAACAGAGCACCCAGCAACTCCTTCCTTCCTCTAAGGAAAGCATTCATGAGTGGAATTAATCTGCAAGACTGAGTTAAGCTGAAGTCCCTGACACCTCCTGGCCGTTTTCTGTCTCCTCCTTCAAACTTTATTCTGATCATCTGAAGCATTTTTATCCTGTTCCTCAGCCAAAAAGGCTTCCAGAGAAGCATATACTCCACGGATAAAACAAGACCCTTGCAGGATCATCATGGCTAACAAGGGGGGCATTCAGAGATCTGGGACAGGTTCCTTGTTCCATCCTCGTTTTTTCCCCATCCATTTGGATAAAGGAAATAAATGTGAACTGAGAGTGGGTATGTTAGTCAGTGGGTCCCTTCTCCTCCATGCTCCTCCTTGACTAGTTGACATCATGCTGAGGTTTTGTAAAGCAAGATAGCTAATGGTGGTTAGAGGTGTGGACTGGGAAGACCCAGTTTCTAATCCTTAATCAGACATTAAGTCCACTGGTTGACTTTGGGCCAGTGCTGATTCTCAGCACGACCTACCTCACAGGGTTGTTGTGAAGAAATAATGGAAAAGAGGGAAATCATGTACACTATCTTGGGCTTCCTGAAGAAAAGGCAAGATATAAATGTGACAAAGATAGTTTTGCTTGACTGCTTTGTTCGGGCTTTGATCACACATTAGTGAAAGATATGCATCCTGCACTGATCAAATTAAGGTCTATGAAGCAGTCATGCCAAGAAGCTAGATAAAATGGAACTTCATGCATGCAGACACATTCAGCATACAGAATTACACAACAAATTGGGTGGCAATTGTTGTGAACTGCCCAGACAGCTTCAGCTACTGCGTGATATAAAAAATGTAAGACAGTATGGAGAGGTAATATGAAAGAAACATGTAGTAAATTGACATCAAGATATAGGATAACAAAACAGGAAGTGTGTATTTCTATTTCTGTTAATGAAGGCATAGTTGTAGCAAAGAAGAAGGAAGTGTGAATTGAGGAGATGTGATGCTGAGAAAATGTGACAAGGGAAAATGTGTACATGGGTTTTATCTGCAAGAGAAAATTATAGAACAAAGCGAGCTTGCATTACTGTGGGTTTTGCCTTTTATGGTTACAGAAGAACAACACATTGGAGATAAAAATCAGGATAATGGGCATATTCATATGGAGTAAATACCCCTCCATGCACACACACATTTAAATTTGTACTCACAATCGCCAAGAGTCTTGTTTAAAGCTTACCCCTTAACAGCATTCAGTCAGATTTACAACCAACATATTACAAGAGTGTATTTTTCTACAGTATTCATCTTGGTGATTATGGAGTTCTAATCTGGATTGTTTACTTTAAGTATAGTAATGGGGCAGTGAATATCATCACATGTGAATTAACATGGAAGACTGTAATTACACAAAGATAATGCAGATTAAAAATTCCTCTTGATCTGTATTTATCTGCAGAAAGTTCCCTCTTGTAATTCCTTGCCCCACTTTAAGTTCCTTTTTAATATTTCCCATACATGCAACTATAATGTAAAATCTATGTTGACAGGAATGCACTTTGGATTAAAAAGAACATTCTTCAATTCCTGGCCTACATCAACAATTTACAAAAAGTGCACAAGTGTCAAAGGCTGTTCAGAAGTAATTTGCAGTCCAATTCTATGTATATCCCACAGGAGAGTAATACTTGCGTTAGGACCAGTGAAAATGTTGTGCACTCAACTCTCTTTCAAATTCTCCAGCACTCTGGTGGAGGGGAAGGAAAAAAGAAGCTGGGCAAGCACGAAGAAAGCCCAAATCTGCTCATTTGCTTCCCAGCTAATCTTGAATAACCTGCCGAGTTCTCCAATATTCGGTGCTATTTTATTTGGTCCCGATGAGTAAGGACCACATTGCACCTTCTGATTTTTTTTCTTCTTCCTGTATGAAGCAAAGCTACAGATGGGGCTGTATCGAGTGGTAGTCTTACTTCGAGTAAACCTATTTCAACGAATAAGCATGAAGTCCTCACGCACCGGAAGCACCCCAAATCTGTTTGCTCTTTCAGTACAAGTTTATTTGGGCGGGGATCCAGCTGAGCACAAGGGGCCTTACTCTCAGGCAACGGTGCAGCTGGGTGGTAACCTGAGCTGGGATGCTGGCTCAGGCCATTCTCTCACTGCAAATCGGGAGTCAGGTCAGCGGCTCCCCTCCTCGAAGGAAACGGCCATGGGAAACCTTGGAAGCTCCGGTCACGTCCTCGTCCTCCTCTCCCGCTGGGATGCCCAGCCTTACACGCCGCGGCCCGTCGTTCGTTTTCCCACCAGCTGCGCAGCAGAGCCGGGGCTAGAGGCGGCCAGGACTGTCTCTTCCCAGAGCGCGGGGCCGGCTTGCGAGCGCGCTGCGCCGCGGCGCCTCTGCTCCGGGCAGTCCCCTGGGCCTTCTCTACCTCCTGCGCCCTTCGGAGCGTGAGAACCAGGCGAAGCCGCGGCGCAGCTGAGCTGGGAAAAGCGTCCCCTCTCCTCGACCCACTGCCAAGGTTGAAGAGCGCGAGGAGGAGAGGAGGAGGGAGAGCTCCGCATGGAGGTTTGCGGCCATCTCCCCGTTCGATCCGAGACGCAAGCGCAGCGGCGCATCTGCGGCTGGACCCGACGGCGGGGCGCCTACTTACTTGATGTCCTCCCAGACTTCGGGGCCGTAATTCCGAATCACCAGCAGCTCCAGAGCGTGGTTGACGAACCCGTACTGTAGGGGGCGGGGGGGAGAGAGCGGGAGAGCCGCGTTACTGCTGGAGCCAGCGGGAAAGGGCGATTCTTAACTAACCACCGCCGAGGGCAGGGAGAAGACCGGTCTGGAGCATTTGGAGCAGGAGCGGGCGCACGTCCGGGAACACATCCGGGCTGGGATAGGCAAGAGGAAGGACAGCAAATGACAGCGATCCACCCTCCACCCCCGTCCGCCTTCACCTGCTCCAGGTGGATCGCGCCTAGGCAGAGGGCCCTCTGAGGGCGAAACCACCCAACTGGCAGCAAACGGGTGCGGACAGGGTGAGCCTTGAATGCAAGGAGGCGGGTGCTCCTTGATGTGGGGACTAGTTTGCAAGGCAAAGTGTAATATGTCAGTCCCTTCCCCCGCCCCCCTCTCTCCCGGTGGATGGTGCTGAAAGAGTTGAAACGGCACACGGCCGGCTGGCTGAGCGGCCGCATCGCCTCTCGTGCACCGCTTCGGCCCCCTCGCCCTCTCCCCCGAGGCGATTCCCATGCCAGATGGGGAGCGCGCGCAGGGGGCCCTCCCTCTCTGCCAGGACCGCGCATCCTTCCCTTCGGTGCGCTCCCTAGCGCGGGGCTCGGCTCCGCTGCGCTCCACCGCCGCTGCCGCCCGTGCCATTTTGCGAAGCGGCGGCCGCGCATCCTTCCCGCGGCGCCCATGAAGCGGTTGCCTGCGCACTCACCATCGCGCCGGCGGCCCCCCCTGCCCCCGATCACGCGGGGACGCGTTTCCGCAGCTCCGCGAGGCCAGGCGGCTGGAGGAGAAGGAGGCGAGAAGCAGCGCCGGCGAGCGGCACCTTCTCCCGCCAGCCGCCCCCGCCGCGCGCGCTGATTGTCACCGGGCCGCAGCCAATGGCGGGCGCCGCGCCGCGGGTGGCCTCCAATTGGAAGCAGAGGAGGGAATTCGGATGCTCGCGCCCCGGCCGGGGCAAAGGAGGCGGGGGCGAGAGGGTGGTATAAATGGGCGGGCGCCGCGGGCAGATGTATACGGCGCTTGCGGAGGCGCCCGCGCCTTGCGGAGAGGGAGGCGAGCGCACGCAACGCGCAGCGACCGCAGCGGCGACGGGGCGTCGTCATGTGCGGTGATGACCGCCTAGGCTCCCCCTCCGGAGCCGTACGGTACGCCTAGCCGCTTCTCGGCCTCCCGCTTACCTGTTTGCTCTTTCCTTGATTAATACGCAGGGTCACCTTTCTAGCGATGGTTTTCCGGCGACTGACAGCAGGTCAATATTGAACGAGCGTGACTGCTCTGAGCAATTTTCCCAGGGACTTTGGGGCCATCCATCACGTATTTATCAATAAGCAGCGAATGTGTATATTCCGCTTCCGAGTTTTAGATGGATTCGGCTATCCTCGTTTTATTCCTCTTCCCAGCAATAAACACATCGGGGATGATTTCCGGAGGATAGCCGGTCTAGTCTACTGCAGCAAAACCAACGAGGAGACTTGTGCTGGCTGAGGAATGCCGGCTGTTCTAGGATGTTTCCTGCCTAGGCTTGCGAGGTTAATCAGGAATAGGGTCATGTCGTGTTTTCTGTTTCCCAGAGGAGAAGACAGTGGCTTGCCCAAGGTCAACGTATCCATAAACGTCTAAGGCTCCAGTCCGAAAACACTGGCGAACGAGTCCCATGCAAGTCCACAGGCCTTGCTTCCTGCATATGATGCACTTAGGATTGCACTGTGAGTCACCTGTTCTTTCCCAGCCTTTCTTCGAACAGACAGATTGTGCATCCCATCAACGGCTTGTTGTGCATCCTTCTCTCATCTCAGCACAGTATCTTCATATCTCCAGTTCCAGGCCCAACAAGTCCACACAAACAATGCTTCTCGGTATTCTTCCCTCATCTCAAACTGAACACTGTACTTGATGGACCTTATCAGGTTGTCTTTCTGTTCAAATGCTCTTAAAGTCCTCTCAGTTCATGTTGCTAACCATCAAAGTTACTGGCTTGTTTGTTTGAGGAGTGCTGGAATCGATTCAGAAATATTCAGCCAGTGGCACATTGCCTCTGAACAGCTGGAGCTTCATCTCTAGCCACCCTGACAGAGAGCATTCTCACATGAAATAGGCAAGAGTGTTATTTGCAAGTTGGCAACCGTTAAATGACAATTAAACATTGTGAATAATGATAATCACACAGCTCCAATTCTTTCTAACAAAGAAGATAGAAGACAGAGGATTCCCTTAAAAAAGACTTTCTCAAACCAGCAAGAGTCAAGGAAAAGTCTTCTGAAACAAATGCAGGATGCTCATTAGCCAAGCCAGACCTTTACAACAAAGAATTCATTAGTGTTTCATTATTGCAGGGAAATGAAGGTTAAATAAATGCTTCTTTTGGCAGAAAGTTACCAGTGGGCAAATGTTCCCAACAACTGGCGCCTGTTGCTGTTTGAATGTAAGGGGTAAAGGTAAGAACTGCAACCAAAGTCAAGTGCAGAAATGTGGATCCAAGAATGTTAGATTTGCATGCATATCATGGTCATCCACCCTGGTGAACCCTTTGGAGCTGTGAAGGATAACCTGACTGAGTGAGGATATACTGCCCATATTTTGAGAAGCTCTACTAACCCATATAGTAATCTTAGTATAGAATTATAATTCACATAGCGATTCAGATAATTAACTGCATTATCCAGGTTTCTCATTGCCAAAATTTATTATACTGCAATGTAGAGTCAAGTAACCAAGCTGTAATTTGCCAATTTTAATAATAGTACTGTTACAGTGTGGAGGGACTTTTAGTACCCCATTAAAATGATAGTTTTGACCCCACCCCACCCCCTTTTAGAGGAAACCCATACAGATCATCTTTCATTTGTTGAAGAAAAAAATTTTGGAATGGTTAAATGGCATTGTCATCATAATACTTAAACCATTGGTATGAGTCCCTTAGAAGGTACTAAACTGGAAGAAATTTATTTTGGTCTCAATCCATTCAGGAAGTAAAGCTACAAATCCAAAGAGTATAGGTAGAGTTAAAAACATCTGAACTTGAAATTTAAGATTGGAAGGTTTATTCCATGGGTTCTATCCCATGTTACTCTAGCATAGGCACTATTTGTTCTAATGGGCTACTGTAAGTAAGACTAATATGGGATATAATCCATTGGATGATGAAGGGCTGATGGGGAATGCCTGGAAGGTTGGTCTTTCAAGGTCTTTTGGGGAAAGCCAAATAAGAAAAAGCTTGAAAAGATGAAGGTTATTCCAAGTCAAGATTTGGCGTTGTAGCTGAAACTCTTCATTTGCTTTACCTTTCAAAATTGTAAAATTGGTTTCATACTGTATTTCTGCACTGACACCTCTTACTGTCACATTCTAAAGGCAGAGGAAAGATTCCTTAGCTACCAGGGACTAATTTTTTGTTTGCATTTCTAACCATTTTGTGGCTTGATTCACAGTCAACTCTTACCAGACTCACCACAATTAATACCATGACTTCAAGGTCACCAAAACATGTATAAAACATACATTACATTAATTTATTTCAATGCCATGCAGAATCCATTCATAATTGTAAGTTGACTGTTGACATAGGTGGTCTAAGACAATCTTCCGCTCAAGTGTATACGGTTGTACTTTCTGATTGCAAATCTGAAATGTGTTTTCAGGGCAACCATTAAAGCAGGAGAATCTCAAGCAGATCAAAGATAACACTTAACACCTTTTACACAAACTGCCTTCAGGATATCCAGTGTATTAAATGAGAAGCCAAAATAGTTACCACTGAAATGCTTGAGAAAGCTCAGCTGCCAAGTCAATTACTCTTCTTACACAGACATCTCAGCTTTGTGATCTGTACCGGATGGAAGATGAATCCTTTCCAAATGAACTTCTAGTCAGAGAACATGCAGATGTTCAGAAGCCATGGAATCAAACAAAGCCCAGGTTTTTAAGGATGTTTGTGAGTAACGGGGGCCTAAGGCTGAAAAGGAACATTACAAGCTGGGAAATTTCAGCTGGCAAAGGGCTACATAAAAGCTCAAAATGGAACAGAGAACGAAGAAGCAGAAAGGAATGTCAGGAAAGCAAAGAAAATCTTACTTTCTGCCTAGTGCAAGTTTGGTTCCCGTGGGGGTATGACAGCAGGGGTAAAGAGTTAAAGCCCCACTTGCTCTTTATCCTAGCCCCAATCTGGGTCAACTCCCTCACTCTACACATGCTGGCTTTTCACGAAAAGAACAACAGCAATGCAGGAGAAAACTACAATGCAATACAGGACAAACAACATGTCTGGTTTGGCCCTGACTGATGATGTACAATAGGGAATTATAAGTGTTTTCTGATCATTGCTGTGGTCATGTATCTTGAGTCTGAAAGTATCATTGTAATCTCTGCCAGGCTGTTAACTTTTGGATTGACCCAACAGTCTTCCTGGAGTGGATCTGTTATACATTGCCCTGCCTCAGTCAGAGAATATTATGTGATCCAGACATGGTGTTCCATTTTTAACCATTTCATCTTTTCCACAGCTTTATCCATGTTTCTTTCCATAAATCAAACAAATCACTATGGAGGTCCACAATGTCTGTTGATTGGCAGTACCACATTATCTCTGTTTGGAAGCACCCATACAGTGTAGGTTCTTCTACCCTGCTTATTACATTGTGTAGTGTTTTCTGTTCTCAGTTTCATCCCTAGTATGCCCAGAATCTTCCCAGGTACATGAATTCAGCAGGTACCCATGGATTTATTATGCTGGCAAGTAGCCTCTGTTTTAGAAGCATAAATGAGTATAGTTGGAAAGAGTCTGTAAGACCAGTGAGTCCAACTTCCTGCTCAATGAAAGGTTCCAAGGTAAAGCAACTCTGTCTAGATGCAACTCAAATACCTCCAATGTGTGAGACAGTACAATTTTCTGTTGCCATATTGCTCTAACAGTCAGAACGTGTTTTTATGATGTTCAACCAGAACCTGACTTCTTGTAATCTGACCCAATTATTACTGCAATCTGGAATAATGAAGAAGAGATCCTGATCTTCCTCTGCATGGCAACTTCTCATGAACATGAAGATTGCCATCACATATCCTCTCAATATTCTGTCTTTAAGGTTAAACATGCCCAATTCTTTCAGGCTCTCATGGGGCTTTGTTTCCAGTCCCTGGATCATCTTTGTTGACCAGCTTTGACTTTCAGTTTGTCTGCATCTTTTTTTTTCAAATGTGCTACCCAGAACTGGACACAGTACTTAAGATGAGCCCTAAACAGTACTGACTAGAAAGGAACTAGTGCTTCATTTGATTTAAAGTGATACTTCTATTTATACAGCATTTGCTATTTTTGCAGCCACATCACATGGTTGACTCATATTTAGCTTGTGATCTGCAATCCCAACTGTCCCTCATCTTCTACTTTTCTACTTTTGAATTCTTTCTTTCCTTCCTTCCTTCCTTAGTTCCAAAATTTGGCATTTATCCTATTGCATTCCGTTCTGTTATTTTCAGCACAGCACTTCAAACAATCAAGGACACTTTAAAGTTTGTTTTTGTATTTTAGGGTATTACCAATCCTATCCAATTTTGTGTCATCCACAAATCTGATAAATGTGCCCTGCACTTCCTAATCCAGATCATTAATAAAAATGTTGACGAGCTCTGAGACCAGGACTGAAAGCTGTGGTACCCTACTTCTTCCTCTTCACAATTTGAAAAGATGCACTTGAGAAGCACTCTTTGAGCCTATTTTTGTAAGAAACTGTGGGTCCACCTCATATTTTTCCTAGTTTGTCCATCAAGATATCATGAGGCATTTTGTCAAAAGCTTTGCTGAAGTCAAGAT